AGATTCCTGCTTGCATCACCATCTTTCACACGGTGGGATCACTAAAGAGATACACAAGAGAGCACCCAACCAGCTAAAGTGTACTCTCAATGGCAGGGTAATAACAACAGAGCAGACCCACCAAGGCTGGAGACTGAACAATACTGGAAAGGGAGGCATCCCACAACAGCAATGCACAGTGGCTAACCTCTCTACGAGAGGACCACAGCAACCTCCCTGAACAAGCCCCGGTAACCATCACTGTGGCAGATGTCCAAGAAAGAGTCTCGGGTATGAAAAACTGGACAGCACCAGGACCTGACATGATCCATGCCTACTGGCTGAAGAAACTCACTGCCCTCCATGAGCAACTGGCAGCCAGCCAGCTACACAATGGGACTCACCCTGAATGGTTAACTGAAGGGCGCACAATCCTGATCCAGAAGGATCCCTCGAAGGGTTCAGTCCCATCCAGGCCGATAACCTGTCTCTCTACAACATGGAAGCTCATGTCAGGCATCTTAGCGGCTAAGATAAGCGGGCACATGGATAAATACATGAACACGGCACAGAAGGGCATCGGCATAAATAGTAGAGGAGCCAAACACCAACTACTTGTAGACAGTTGCCCGAGACTGCAAAACCCGACACACCAACCTGTGCACCGCTTGGATTGATTACAAGAAAGCTTATGACTCAATGTCACATACCTGGATCATTGAATGCTTAGAGATGTATAACATCAATAAGACTCTAAGAGCCTTCATTGCAAACTCGATGGGGCTGTGGAAAACCACCCTTGAAGCCAACTGCAAACCACTTGCACAAGTGTCCATCAAATGTGGCATATACCAAAGGAGATGCTCTGTCCCCACTGCTGTTCTGCATAGGCCTGAAGCGCCTCAGCCAAATCATCAACAAGACTGGCTACGGATACTGACTCAAGAAATGGGCCACCATCAGTCACCTTGTGAGGGTTCTCACAGTAACCAGCCAGAGAGACGCTGAATGGAATTCAAAAATAATCTTAATTTATTACAAAAAAGTTCAAAAATAATCAAACAATGAAGAATTGGGCCCAAAACTGAGGTCAACATAACAAACTACAACTCAGGTGTTAACACAAAGAACTCAAGCACAAAACTGACCTAACAAACAAGACATGAGGGGAACTTAAATAGTGGCTGATCAGACCACTGCTGACACACAAGGGATAATTTAAACATGCAAAAACTTAAACAAATACAATACCAAATCTTTAAATTAAACAAACATTAGACTGAAACTACCAAATAGAAGAAACATTAAAGAAATGGTCAAATTAAAGAAAACCAAATTTCCCCGTCCCCTGGCAAACAAATGGAACGGCCTGCTGAGGAGGTTTTGCCAGCCATATATGGATGTCAATCAGCTGGAGCTCTTCTGTGACCCTCCAGCAGCTCCAAAGGAAACTGGTAACTCAAAACAAATAATTTAATTTGTTGCATTTAACAAAAATATAAAGAACTGACAAACAAGGTTATCTAAATGTGTGCACTCCAAACAGTTATCCAAAAAAAAGTCAGACTAATGAAAATAATTAACAAAAATCTAAACTATTCACTAATTAATGTCTAAATTAATGTAAAGGATAAAACAAACAAAATGATTACCCTTCAGGTCGGTGTGACAGTAGGGTCAGCTGTCACAACCCGACACACCAACCTGTGCACCGCTTGGATTGATTACAAGAAAGCCTATGACTCAATGCCACACACTTGGATCACTGAACATCAACAGGACTCTAAGAGCCTTCATTGCAAACTCGATGGGGCTGTGGAAAACCACCCTTGAAGCCAACTGCAAACCACTTGCACAAGTGTCCATCAAATGTGGCATATACCAAGGAGATGCTCTGTCCCCACTGCTGTTCTGCATAGGCCTGAACCCCCTTAGCCAAATCATCAACAAGACTGGCTACGGATACCGACTCGGAAGCTACTCATCATGCATGGAGGGTTCCACCCCAAATCCAGCACCCTGAAACTGTACACAAGCCGTAAGGAAGGAGGCAGAGGACTAGTGAGTGTGAGAGCCACTGTCCAGGATGAAACATCCAAGATACATAAATACATAGACGACAAAGCCTCATAGAGGCTCAGATCTACCACATCAGACAAGACCCAAGGTGCAGGTTGTGCAAGGAGGCCTCTGAGACAGTCCAGCACATAACAGTAGGGTGCAAGATGCTGGCAGGGAAAGCGTACATGGAACGACATAACCAAGTGGCGGGCCTAGTGTACAGGAACATCTGTGCAGAATATGGACTGGAAGCCCCGAGGTCAAAATGGGGAACACCCCCAAAGGTGGTGGAGAATGACCAAGCTAAGATCCTGTGGGACTTCCAGATCCAGACATACAAAATGATAATGGCGAACCAACCGGACATTGTGGTGGTATTCTAATAATCCAGTCCAGGTTTGAAGAGTCTAGGTGTTGTAGATTTGGAATTAGAGCAGTCCTCATGTGTCCAAGTTTAAAATCAAAAGTGGTGAAACCGCCCTTTTTTGAAGTGTCACAAATCAGAAAAAGGTTTCACAAATCACAAACATGGTTTTAAATATTCTGCTATTAGAGCAGAAATATCAAGTCCAGGTTTGAAGAGTATAGGTGTTGTAGTTTTTAAACTAGAGTCGATTAAAGATGCGGAAGGTAGTGAAAAACTAGATGGAATCGCCCTTTAGCCATTTCCCGAATTGGAAGCTAGAATTGGAAACCAACTTCCGACTTAAGCTTTGTAGAAAACTCTGCATATTTAAGCTTTGGCCTACACACTTGTATTTAACATGGAATGTTTGTGTCATTGTTAACAATATTGTCCAACACTGGAACTTCGCCTACCCTGAATGAAGAGGACTGGAGGACAAAGCAATATTATCCAGGTTCTCTGTTCCCCAACTCAGTCTGTAGGAATCCCTCTCATTCTCCCTTGCAAGTGATGAAACCTAGAATCAAATAAGTATAATTAAAAATTACTCAGAACATTTGGAAAATTTCTCATGAGCCACCCATGGCACATTCCTTCACTAAGACTTGTGTTTTGTCAGAGTTGCACCTGAACCACAAGACTTGTAGAACAATGTCCTTTGGGCAACACCAAATTCAAGACATTTAGCCAGAATGTGCTGCACCATAATTGGCTCTTTGGTAGCTGTTAATTTTGAGACAGTTATGTTAGAGTTGGTTTGACAGACACAGGACATGGACTCCTGGCTGTCACAGTCAAAGTCTAACCTTTAGCAAACTTTTCTTTGTCCTGATTAGTTTGTTTTATGAAAAGCAGCAAGGTTTTGTCTGAAATACTTTTAACCAGTGGGAGTACCTTGTGACAGGTGAGCATCTCGTCCATCATACCATCATGTCTTGGAGAATAGTAGCTATGATGGGTGGGTGTGAAGGACCTGTCTGAACTGGAGCACAAAATATCAGAATAAACCATCAAACCAGTGAAGGTCAAGAACAGGGAAATTAATTTAGCTGAACAGAATTGGTAACTAACCCAACATTTAACACTAATCATTTCCAACACAAACAGCCATCAGTGTCCAATAACTGACTAGATCAGTTTGTGCAGCTGAGAGTTAGTTATTTCTGACCTGAGCTCCTAAATTAAATGAATATCACATTTAGAAACAAATGTCATTCGATGAAAGGTCTCAGCAAGACCAGACAGAGTGTAGGACTGGATGTTCCTATGTTCGAAATACTGATGTTAGAGAGACCCTATGCTAATGCATCAGGCCTGAGTCAGAACATACCATTGGACTCCACTATGGATGAGTGAGAAGGGATACATGAAGAGGAGAGAGACACAAAAGGATAGAGTGTTAGTTCTCTCAAGCTCAGGAAGAATGGAGTTTTTCATAAAGCTCTGTACAAAATTCTTCAGCCATCACTCATATGTTTATATTTTAGTGAAGTTTGATCAGCTGACCTAACTTCTGGGCATTGTCTGGTTTTGTTCTCCTTTTCAGCCCATTTTAACCAAAATGGGCAAAAATTAAGTACAACTTTGTGGTGAAAATAGCTGAGAATGAAAATTCCAACTTGTATTTTTGTGTATTGGCTTATGGTCAAATAGAAACCCTAACCCGACCATGTGAATGATTTATTTAGAGCAGGGGTGCCCAAAGTCAGTCCTCGAGGGCTGGCATCCTGCATGTTTTAGTTCTCTCCCTGGTTTAACACACCTGGCTCAAAGGATCCAGGTGTGTTAAACCTGGATCATTAGAAGGCCTAAGAAGAACAATTGACATGCTGAAAAGGTTGTTACTACCACCAGGGAGAGAACTAAAACATGCAGGATGTCGGCCCTCGAGGACCGACTTTGGGCACCCCTGATTTAGAGGATGTATTTTTTTAGCCATGAGACTTACAATATCTCATTCAACACTGTTGTGTCTAAATAGCAGGCAGTTAGGCATCAGATCAGATGCATGACCACTTTCACTGACTCCTTTCAATATTATTGTCTACATGTGGAAATTTCATGCACACACATAACGCTGGAGAGCAAAAAGGCTATTCTTTTACATGCCATCCATAGCTGCATTGACGTGGTAGAACAATTCTGTTAACTTAATAAAGTTATGGAGATGTAGGTATTATTCATTGAGTGTAGTGCACCACAACAAAGGAAAAATAATGCAGAAAAAACATTAAATAACTCAAAACCACTTTTTTCTCAAAGAGAAAAGGTTCAGGAAGGATTATCTTAATGAAGGTGAATGGGTCAGGATTTGTTTCCCATTTCTTTATCAACTTGTTCAGTTTTCTCACTTGTGTGAAGACACACCACGTACTTAACATAATAGGATCTGCATGAAGAAAGTTAAAAAACAGATAATCAGAGTAGAATGTTGTACCTATCAAATATCAGATAATCAGCTGCTTCAAGACATTCTGGATGATTAGAACAAAGTCTGGCTCTTTGGTAGTAACAAACAATCTGAGGTGCTTTGGCACTTTTGCACAGCACTGCATGCATATACTGTACACTGACACAATACATAATATATGTACATAATATATGTAACATAAAAACATATTTAAAGAAGGTGCAGATCCACAGACTTAAGGGGATTAAATAGTGTTAGAAAGGCAAAGCAATGTGTGAAGAACACATGTTCTCTAGCAGGGTACTACATAAGGGACAACGGTAAAACGTGTATGAACCTCTGAGCACAGATTTCTGTATTTCACCAATGGATTTTCACTTCACTGTATAATAGTTTTTGTCTGAGGTATGTTGTTCTAGCTGTAGATCAGTGAGGTTGTGTGGTGAAGCATTTGGTACCTCTCAGTGCGCGCCCCCTCTAGGCTGAAACGGAGGTAGTTCATCCCATCCAGGTATTGTCCTGGCAGGGAATCGTCTCCCAGTTCCTTGAGGTCTTCAGGCCTCAGATACTCTCCGCCGTCACCTGTCATTGTGTCATCACCTTCAGAAAAATTTTAAATCAAAACTGCTTTTAGGAGGAGTAAACATTTTGACATTTTGCGGGTCAAAAATTATATGATGTTGCATGATGTTTCAATTTTTCCTGAATAGGCCATTGTTGAAAATGAGAAACTGTTTGCAACATATCTGGTTAAATAACGATTACATACATTGATAATTAAAAGACGAAATGAGTTCAGTTTGACTTTTGTGATGAGTATATCATTTCAATCAATCAATCAATCAATCAAATTTAATTTGTATAGCACATTTCAGCAGCAAGGCATTTCAAAGTGTCATTAAAAACAAAAACACAGAGTCATGTAACATTAAATAAACAATCAAAAAATAAAATAAAATAAATGAATAAAATAAAAATTTAAAAATATTAAAACTAGCACCCCTTTTCTAACCCTTTAGGACTTTAGGTGAAACACCATCAACTGGGACTCTAACCCATTTAAACTCAGTAATCTCAATATTTAACTTCATCTTATGAAAATACAGTAGGACTGTTAGAATTTACTGAATTCCTTCCCTAATCAACTATATTGGCTGTCTTACACCAAACAAATTGCAGCAGCTCATGCACCTTATGTCATCTGCAACACTGATGCAAAGCTCTACTACTACACTGCAAGGTCCACAAGATAAGGATTCAGGCATCATCACTAAGTTAAAGACTTCAGGGAAAAGTTTCACTAGCCTAAAATGGGGCTGCGGTTTACAGCAAACAACAATAAGTGACAAGCATCAAAAGCTTAAGGGCCACCATTTAGTATAGAAACTAAAGACTGTGAGAATTTTCTTATTCATAAATATTCATTTCTTGACATTCAGGCTTAAAGTAATTAAAAAGGCTAGTGTTTGAATGTTGAAGAATTATCTATAATTAATATCTAGTATCTAGAATTTGTTCTTTTTATGATGAGGGCTTACACTGGATGTTAACTAACTGGTATTACTCTTACTATATTGATGGAATTGATAAACTAACTGGACAGACATCAAGCAATTGGACTAAATAAGTTTGGATCTGTAGACAAAGTGATTTGGTCTTTCTCAGGTTCTCTGGTGGAGACCTCTTAATCCCTTTACAATAGACATAAAATAATCATTATTGTTTTAGGATGATGCTGAGATAAAATATTAATAGAAAATAATACTGTAATACACATTTAGAGTGACCTTGGGTACGTAGGTGTTTTTAATGTAATAACTGTGGGTAGGAATCAGAGCTGTTTGTTTTGTAGAGAACCTTGATGATGTTTTGTGCTTGTTTAAAATAGTACAATTAATGGAACTTGAACTGATTTGACCAGACCTTAATTAACACAAAGTTTCTAGAAATGTGTCTGAATACTAGTGATTTTGACTTCCACATAACTAAATAAAGCAAGATTAGAATCTCAAAATCACTAGCTGCATTTCCATTAACCATAAAATTGCTCAAATTGAAAAACTCCCGTTCTTCAATAAGGAGTTTTTGTGCTAAGATAAGGTGATTTTCCAGCCACATACAAGTGGTTGTATTTCACAAAACTGCAATGAAAACCCTCTTTTCACATCACACACAAGTCATGTGATCAACAGCTCTATATTACTACTGGGGAAAATGACAAAGAAGACATCAGGAAGTGGTAGGAGGATGACAGTTTGTTTTTGTTTTTTCAGACAATGTCCAGCTGGCTCCATCAGAGCTCTCACAGCATCACACAGCTCATAAAAAGTTGCGTGTCATTTGAACATGTTGAATCCATAGCTCTTCTCTAAAATAACGCTGCATATGTTTAGGGAAACATATGCCCAACATATTACCCAAAACGCTGCATACGTAAACACCCCCTAGTAGGCGGGGCTTGTCACTCAAAGACTGACTAAGATGCCGACGTCTCCTCTGATGGCTGATAGATGATGAGCGCTAGCACCGTGGCTGAATTATGAATATATCTCATGATCGAATATATCTTATTGATCGCTGCCAAGAATTTTATGGACTTATGTGAAAAGCTTATTCACACATGATTTTTATTTCTTATTTAATGGAAACACCACAATTATGTTTTTTTCTATATTAACAGAAAAAAAAATGAAAATTTGCATAGGTTGGTAATGGAAACGCAGCTGCTGCTCATTGTTTTTTTTTCTTTTTCTTTTGTTTAAGCAGGTAAGGCCTAAGAGGGAAGCTGCTGCAATAGAGAGGAATCAGACTACAGGTCCAGGTCTGCCTGAAAGCACATCAGGCCAACGGAACAAAAAAGAAACATACTGAAATAAGACCCAGATGTTTCCCTGCCCATAGTATGCCAGCTTCCTGAAAGGCAAAAGTATCAGAAGGTATAACATGTCAAAAACACTCTAAAGAAATCTAAAATCTGCAGTTAGAATAAATACAGCAGTTGATCAAATGTTATATTGATGTAAACAGGAAATAGAGATTGCTTTCTTCTGCTGGTTTGTGATTTGTGAGCAAATTTATGGTTGGATATTTGCTGCAATGAAAAAATAAAACTAAATAATTTTAATGTTCAGTTAGTGGAACATCAGTAAACAGTGATAAGAAAATATCATGCAAATCATACAGAACCCTTATTTGTATAATGATATGCATTGGGGTGTAACGGCACAGAAAAATCATGGCTTGTGTTGAGAAATATTTAGGAAGCTTCAAAGGAATTTATTTCATTAAGTTTTAAAACTTAAAAACTAATCCAAAAAAAGTTGAAAGTAAAGACCTGATTGAAGATTTGGTTGATTTTTTTTTCCCAACAAATGAAGTACTATAAGCAGACAGTGTCTGGCTCTTGCACTGTTTCTGTTTCTGTGTTTGGCTGCAAAACACAGACTGCAAGAGAGAACAAGTTATTTCTTGTTCTCTCTTTTCATGTTTTGATTTAGATCAGCCTTTGCTTCTTTCATACTTCACATTAAACTTTTCTTAGCTATTTATGTTAGATCACCTTTATTAATATTCTTTATATTCATTCCTTTTAGAATTATGTTCTGCCTGCTCCCCAGTTTGTTTTCCTTGCCCTTCTATGCCATCTCTCTCTCTCTCCCTCAGCCTGCCTGCTACCGTCTCCTCACAGCTGCACCTGGTTTCTACTTAGCACTGCTCCATTGTTCTAGCAATCAAGCTCCCAGTATTTAACCTATTCTCTTTCACACACTCCTCACTAGTTTCTTCCATTAACCTTATGCCACCAGGTAGGTCTCTGTCCGTTTCCTGGCTCCCTGTGTGTTTCCTTCAAGTTTTGTAAGATGTAAGAGAAACTCTGTTTATGACACAGTGATAAGTAGAAACCATGAATAAACAGTCATTCGGTTCAATACTTCCGTCCCTCACTTCCGACGTCTGTCACAGTGCCTCATTAGGTGACATAGTACTATGTCACCTAATGACACTATGTAACTTACTATGTCATTAAGTGACATACTTGCAATAGCCTGTAATCAATATGCCGAATAACAAAAAGTAACATATACTGTCATACATAAACAGAAAAATTCTTTACGAAACAGAGGGGGAATTATTGTGCATACCTTGCAATACTTGCATTCTTACAATTAAACTTTTACTAATTCTTTTAGAAAAATACTGTAAAATATTAAAAGTAGCACCATAAAATCAGTAATCTTGATTTTAGTGTAATTATTCTACTGGATTTGGGACTGAATTTGTTTTAAAAGTTGTCACCCCAGTTTCTATAGCAACAGATAGCAAAGTGCCTGGGGACTTACCTTCTTCATCTGATACATCCAGTACTTCAGTCATGGTTTCAGGCACATTCAGCTTGTGTTTCTCTGTCACCGTCTGCCCACAGAGGGGAAACATTTATTGTTGTTGACACATAACACCCATAAGCCTCATGGTTTATTAGATAAAACTGCTTAAATTTGAACAAAATCAATCCCATCTCAGTATACTGCTACAGCATAAATGAACTTATATTAATTACACTGATACAACTCCACAGAGTCTGGAGTAGACCCTAAACTTCCCTCAATCCAACTTTTGGTAATTGGAATAAAAACTGATGAAATAAAGATGCTGAAGCTGAAACAGAATCTAAAATATTTTGACCTTACAGAATAAAATCTTCACACCTAAGAAGTTCTCCACTTTTGGTCATATTACAACCACAGACTTCAGTGTATGTCTTGGGATGAAGGTGACAGATCGGCACAAAGTAGAGAATAACTGTGAAGTGGACGGAAAATGACATATGGTTTTCATGTTGTTGGTTTTTCTTTTTAACAAATGAAAATTTGAAAAAGATTTTCATGCATTAGTATTACATAGCAAATGAAGCTGCAAGTCTTTTTTATGGGTTGTTTGTGCCTACCAGTATTGCCATTTTTACAAATTTCTTCTTTGTAAACTGGTTGGAGAGCATCTGAACAGCAAGTTGTAGATAAGAACTTTGACTAGGCCAATTAAATAACTGTGAATCTCTAAACAAAAAAAAAGTATCCCACAGCATGATGCCTGCATCAATTTTTCATTCTGGGGATGGTGTGTTCGGGGTGATGTTCAGTATTCAATGGAATGTTGGTTTTGGGACAAAAAGTTCCTTGTTGGTCTCTGAACAAAGCGCCTTCTTCAATTTTTATTTTTTTAGCGGCTCTTGTGGCCTTTATTTGAGAGCAGTCAGACAGGAAAGTGGGAGGGTGATGGGGCCAGGACTTGAACATGTGACAGCCGCGTTGAGGACTAAGACCTCGATATGTGCGTTGTGCGCCACCACGGTGTCCCATTCTTCAACAGCTTTAAAGACTTTGAGAACTCTGTATCATTTTTCCTCCTTTTAACATCATGTTTGTTTAAGTGTAAATTCACTCAGAGATTTCTGCAGTGTTTGTGCCATACCGTAGTGGTGGTGATGGTCTCCTCAGTGACGACTCGCAATGTGTCCACCACAGAGATATAGCCCAGCCTCCGAGCTATACCCAGCGCAGTGTTTCCATTCTGGGGACAGGAAGTAGACTCCAGATGCCTGTATTTGCATTCAAGTTTGCATCTGCTTTCAGTGAGTATATACAAACCACAGTAATGGCGTTGGGCTTGGCCCCATACTGAAGCAAAACATTGATGATGTGTGTGTTTCCTTGCTGGGCAGCTTGATGAAGCGGAGTGTATCCACTCTGGGAAGGGAAATTGAATGATGATTGAGAAACGACTGAAGCTGAATGCTCTGCAATAACTTCAGTTACATCAGTACCTTTGTCTTGGCGTTAACACTGGCCCCGTTTTGAAGAAGGAAGTTCACCATCTTGACATTACCATAGTGACACGCTACAATTAGTGGGGTGTAGCCCAGCTATGGAAAAATAAAAACATCTTATTTCTCCAATCAGGAATCATGGAAACATGAGTGTAAGGATTAAAACACATTTTGGATGCTGATATGGACAATTCAAAAGTCCAAACCTCACTATCTTAATTTTAATAGATTACCAAATTTTGAACAACACTTAATGTCCAGGGGGACACCAGAAATCAGTGGGGCCACAAAAAGTGCATGTAAAGGCTGTAAACTCAGTGACATTCAAATAATGTAAAAACTAGTCTGATTGTTGTTATTAAATAATATCACGAGTTGTTGTCAGAATCTAAAAGTCCTTAGAACACATTTGACTTTGACTGCACTGATAAATCGGCCCTTATTCCTTCATTTTAGGAGAGAGATACTAACATGAAGAACCAATCTTATGCACTGATCTCTAAAAATTAGCCACTGTCCCTTTTTTTTCTGCAGTGAGAGAGAGCAGACTGACCACCCATCCACCAGGTGATGTCTGCAAGAGTTCAGTTAACTACATCCACACCACTGTTGCCAACTAAGCAACTTTGTTAGCAACTTTTCAGACAAAAAAGTTGATCAACCAAAATTGGAATTCTCAGATGAGGCTTTCTAAAGATGGTGATCGGACAGAAAATTGTAATCGCTGCATTCCTATTTGTGGCAAACCACAATTGCCACATTCTGTATTCTACGGTTCTAACCTTCATTCAACCATGAAAAACTTCATTGAGATCTCAAATCTCTTTTTAAAGAGTTGGCGAGATAGCAGCACTGTTTACAAATATTAACTTTTACATTAAATCAGAAAAATCAATATGTTTTACTCTTAAAAGTATCAAAGCATAAAATAATAAAAACAGCTAATGGAAAACAAAATTATCACAAAAAAAAGCCAGCTAAACTCTCTTCTTCGTGGTCTTTAATCTTTAGTTCACTGAGTGTCACTTTCTCTGTCAATTTAAAATCTTTCTGAAAATTATTCCAATCATTTGGGCAGCATATTTAACTGCTTTCTTTCCCAGGTCTTCCCTAACTCTTGCGACAAACATATGGGAAAAAGCCTGGGAACAAAGTCCATACCGGATGTCGGACTTAACTGTCAGCACAGTCAGATACATCAGAAGGAAAACCAGCACATTGGACTGACAACCAGCAGCTGCATATCAATGACAACAGTGAACACAATATCCACAGACATAAAAAAGTGCAATGATATACCATTTTTTTAGATATTGTTCTGGTGAATTCATGAACAATTGTCCAAAAGAGACAGGAATGTTGTTGAAGTTAAATAATCTCAGATTTGTTGAGTGTACAAATAAATAAAAAAATAAACTGTTTTGGCTGTTTTGATCATTCCTGTTCTTGTCTCAAACCATAGAAGCCATTGGTGATAAAAAACAACAACAACAAAAAACACCAGGAGAGGCAGCAGAAGGGAAGCCCTAGAGATCACACTTTACAGCTATGTTCTGCATGACCATATCTATTAATCTGTATGATTTGATTAATCTTATGGGGGTAAAAATAACCGAATGAAGATCAGTAACCAAAAGGTACTGGACTATAATCAGTAACAGTCAATACTTATCTTAAATGACTTCAGTCTGTATCAGAGACATGAAATCTGAAGTGGGGCACTAGTGCCTAATTGACAAAAGAGGAGAAATGAAACAGGAACTCCTTTCTCATACTTTAGTCTGGTGGTCCAAGTTGGCACCGTTCTTGGAGAGAATCTCAGCAACCGATACTCTGTCTTCTTGGGCTGCCAGATGGAGTGCGGTTAGGCCACTCTGGTTGAGCAAACAGAGAAGTAACATACAGAAGTGAAACAATACAAATGGCTAACTTTGCCTTATATCAGGTCAACATTACCTTGGTGGAGACATTGATCTGGGCTCCTTTGCTGATTAACAGAGCTGTCATGTGTGTGTGACCCTCCTGGGAGGCCAGATGGAGCGGTGTGACCCCCTGGTTGGTCAGGATGTTGGTCTCTGCGCCGTATTGCAGCAGCACTGTGGCAATGTCCATCTGGTTCTTCTTAGCCGCAATATGCAGAGGAGTGTAGCCATTCTGGTTCATGAGAGGCAGACATTAGGCTGGATGTTTTCAACTGTTCTGACCCAAACTACAGCATTGGCCATTTGTCAAGCTTTAAATAAATTGTAGTATTAAAGCTACAAACCTTTAAGACATCAGGTCTATTAGGGTGCAATGTGTGGACTCATGTCAGTTCTTTGGAAATAACTTTTTGGAAAATGTGTATTAAAGGACTAATTTTATTGCAATTTCCGCACTTAATGATCAGCTCATTTTCTGTTAATGCAGGCATCTCATCAAGATGTGTTGAATCCTGTAATTAGTCGATTTGTCTTGTGTTAAAGGAAAGCATAACAGTATAGGAGGCTTCAGATGATCCACAACCCAGAGGCTGTTATGTGAGGGCAAAGGCCATGTCTGGCAGCTGAAGGAGGAGCAGCTCATCCTGCTCTCTCTCATCCTTACTGATAACTTTGCCTGTGAATTATTTTTAAAGTCACAATTTTTATAGTTATATTTACATTATCAACATCATAACTGGATTACTTCAAACCTAAGGACCGGGAGATTTTCTCACTTTTATTTTTTACCTTACTTTCCTTCACCTCCAAGTTGAACTAGGGCAAAATGCCCCCCTCCGACCCCAAGGACATCAGCAGTATTCTACAACGACTTCAGTTTTTAGAAACGAAGATTCAACGGCTGGAGGTGAACTTTGAGATCAACGCTACCTGTGGAAATGAAACAACTCTTCCTCAAATCAGCGGAGAGGTCGTACACCCCGCACCAAGCAGCTCACCCTGGATCGCTCAGGGCGCCAAGCCGAAACAAAAGTCTCACACTGCAGATCCCATGAGACGACTAACGGGGAGAACCCCTCACCTGGACGAAACAGCGTGGCCGGCTCTGAGCCGAAACCCACCTTCAACTTCAACACCTGCTCCGCCAAAGAATAGCAAACAAGCAGCTGGAACCAAAACGGCCCCACCGACCCCGCTCCCAAGGACAAAGCGACCAGCCCAAGCCTCAAAACATTCCGACTCCGTGGGAATCCCACTGAAAAACAGATTTTCTGCACTCCAGCCTGAGCCTCTGAGTGAAAACCCACCTTCAAACATCAACAATGAGGCTAAACCATCACATCCACCCCACAAAGCTCTGAAGGAAAAAGTGACCACCAGGAAAACGAAAGGTATGCCAAGAGTGCTTATTGTTGGAGATGAGACAGTAAATGGAATCAGTCATGTTTGCAATCCCAAGAAAATGAGTGATTTCTTTTCTTGGTGACACTGTATCTGATTTGACTCGCAAAGTGCTCTCTCTAACCGCTGATCAGCCAAACATGGAGACTTTAGTTGTGCATGTTGGAGCCAACGATCTGGCAAAGCAAAAATCGGAGATTCTGAAAAAGGACTTTAATATTCTTCTGGACACTATGGGAAAATTAAAAATGAAGTTATTTCTCAGCGGTCCAATTCCATCGCCTCAATGGGGAGACGAAAAACATTCCAGGCTGGGCATGATAAACAAATGGCTGATTAAAACCTGCTCTGCCAGCTCAGTGACCTTCATCGATAACCTCTGGATCTACTGGCAGCGCTTTCACCTCTTTGGAAGAGGCGGATGCAATCTTAACAAACATGGAATAAAGCTACTCGCTGCAAACATTTTTCATTTTATCAACAAGAACAACAATGTGACCATCGCTTCAGAAGAACAGGCTCAAGGATGTCTGATACACTTTGCTTCCATGTATCAGAAGCAAAGTGTCCCAAAACAAACTTATAAAACATCGACTGGGGACAGAATGACTGGTTCTCCTCCTCATTCCTCTCTCACTCATCTCTCCCCCCTCCCTCCCTCTTCCTCCCTTCCTCCTCCTCCTTACCCCTTCCCTTTCTGCTCCTCCCTGGACACCTTTGAAGAGATGTCCTCCAGACCAGAGTTTCTCAAATTTACGGATGGAATGAATGAACAGGTTCGCCTCGGCACAACTCTCCTTAGCGCTAACATAGCAGACCTCACTTCATCTAAGCCACCTGCCTCTGACTTCCCAGAGGATCCAGCGCTCTGCGTTTCTGAGGTCTGAGACCGGGGTCCAGATATTATCTTTACACCCGTCTTCCTCCAGAATGTGTCTGGCCCCCCGACATTTCATAGCAGGACATTACCTGTCCGGATCACTAGAAGAAAAGTTAGAAAAAACAGAAATACAAAAAGCAGCGGTCTTAATTCAAACCTCAGACTGATCCCCTGCCTAACCCTGGTTTC